CGAGGCTTCAGTCAGCGAGAGGGAGTTGACTTCTTCCAGACCTTCTCCCCGACCCCGAAGATGACCACTCTTCGGGTTCTGCTACACGTCGCCGCTCAGCGTGACTACGAGCTCCATTCTCTTGACTTCAGCACAGCTTTCTTGCAGGGCAGCCTGCACGAGGAGATCTGGCTGCGCCGCCCACCTGGCTTCACTGGGTCGTTCCCTCCTGGTACCCAGTGGAGCCTCCGGCGGCCAGTCTACGGTCTCCGCCAGGCGCCGCGTGAGTGGCACGACACACTGAGGACTACACTTGCGGCTCTTGGGTTTGCTCCTTCTACTGCTGACCCGTCGCTGTTTCTGCGCACCGACACCTCGCTGCCGCCGTTCTACATCCTAGTGTACGTCGACGACTTGGTCTTTGCCACTGCGGACACTGCAGCACTCGCCCACGTGAAGTCCGAGCTGCAGAAGAGACACACGTGCATAGACCTGGGTGAACTGACAAGCTATCTTGGCTTGCGGATCACCCGGGACAGAGCACGCCGCACCATTACCCTGACTCAGTCACACATGGTGCAGCAGGTCCTTCAGCGCTTCGGCTTCACGTACTCCTCGCCTCAGTCCACTCCTCTGCCTACGGGTCACTCGCTCTCAGCTCTGCCTTCGGATGAGTCCGTAGAGTCGAGTGGCCCGTACCCAGAGCTTGTGGGCTGCCTCATGTACCTGATGACCTGCACTCGACCTGACCTAGCATACCCTCTCAGCATTTTAGCACGCTATGTTGCTCCCGGCCGTCACCGGAAGGAGCACATGGATGCAGCTAAGAGGGTGTTGCGCTACTTGTGCAGTACGTCGGGCATGGGGCTAGTGCTTGGAGGGCGAGACCGGCCTGTTCTCACTGGGCACTCATACGCTTCTTGGGCAGACGACCAGGCTACTCAGCGGTCGTCTCAGGGTTACACCTTCAGTCTTGGCTCTGGCTCTGTCTCTTGACGTTCTACTCGTTCTTCTTCTGTTCTCAGCTCCAGCTGCGAGGCTGAGATCTACGCCACGGCCATGGCTGCCCAGGAGCTTCGCTGGCTCACCTACCTGGTGACTGACCTTGGAGAGCAGCCTCGTTCTCCTCCAGTGCTGTACGTCGACAACAAGGCAACCATTGCCTTGTGTCAGGAGCACAGACTGGAGCACAGGACGAAGCACATTGCTCTGCGTTACTTTCTAGCTCGAGAGCTACAGCAGCGTGGTCAGCTTCTTCTGCGTTACGTGGCCACTGAGACCAACACTGCTGATGTGTTCACCAAGGCGCTTCCGCCTGTTGACCATCAGCGTTTTTGCACTCTTCTAGGCCTTGTGCCGACTGTTTCTCACTTGCTTACCTCTTGACTTTACCTGTACTGTGATCATTATATATATACCTGCATGTTTGCCTTGTTAGGTTGTGATCATTGTACCTCTTGCTCTATTATATAACTGCATGTGAACTGGTCTTGTGACCGCTTGCTTGTGCTCGGAATTTGTGTGGAATCCTCGAGATCCACCCTGAGCTTGTTTGCCTTGTTTTGCCTTGACTGGTCTTGTGACCCCTAGGTCTCCCCACTTTGCCTATGGGGGTGTGTCAAACATTATATGTTTCTGTGGTTCTAGGCTGTAGTGGGTCACATCATAAGGGGTACACCAGATTAGGGTTTGACATATTTGTACTGTTGTTCCTGCTAGTCACTCCTCATTCTCGTTTCTCATTCTGACAGGAATACCGGCGAGGAAGGGGGAATGAGGGGATGGAGGAACACAGAAAGCCAGGAAGCGAGGAAATACGTCCATGATGCGGAAGATAGAGACTTGGACAAAACTCTTGGGAAGGGTGTAGAGGTAAATACAGACAGCATGCGGCAGCGTGATAACTTGACGTGAACGACACCAAGATAGCGAAAACTGAGCAAGACGAAAGGAGGAGTAAGTTGGCGAAGGGGGGAAAAGAGAGAGGCACCATTGATGTTTTGAAGCTGCGAGACCGTAAGGGAGTGCGGGTTGTTGATTTTGCCCCGACGCGTCACCGGGAACACATGATGATCGATGGTGCGGTGGTTGCTCGAGCATATGTTGCAGGAGTGGCAGGACAGGTGAACGAACACCGGCACCCGTGAACCTGGAAGCCAAATCAGAGGCGGAAGCGCGTTGAAGCAAACGTCACCGGGCATCGCCACCGGGATCCCGTGCATCTGGTTGTGATAAAGCTCCTCATAGGGATCGTAAGCCATGTGAAAGTGCAGGAGGTCGGCTAACCATTTCTGGCCAGCCCTGTTAGACCTTGAGACAATAATAGAGTGAATCGTTGCAAGATTGTAACCCGCTGGAACATTGCGGACGACCAAGTGGGTCTCACCGCGGTCCTTAGCTTCCGTGTATTCCGGCTCAGGGTCGACGAACTCCTTGAGTTCCACCGAGTGGCCGTTCGGGGGAGTGAAGGTGATCGGGAGGGAGGCACGGAATGCTGCCGCGTCTGCCGCAGTAGGTCACTGCAGGTGCTGACGAATGTACGAGCGGCGAACAGCTTTGAATGGTTCCCCCGCGATCGGCTGGAACGGCGGGATCGTGTTGTTCGGGAAGGCGGTACGACGGAGAGACTTCTTGATGCACGTAAGGATGTCCTTACGGAACTCCGCCAGATTCTCGGGAAAGATAAGGGTGGTGAGAGAGTCCAGATCGCGATTCACCGAGTCCACAGTCTCGCCCACCGTGTCGCGCTGGGCGACCAGACGGCGGTAGCGGCGAGCCGTGTTGCTCTGGGACGGGGCGGAGGAGACTTCTCCACCCGTTGCAGGAGGCGGAGAAGGGGAGGAGCGAGGAGGGGTAGGAGGTTTAGAGGAAGAGGAGGTGGCCGGCACGCAGGGCCTCTTGGCCGCGGGACCATCGGCCAAAAACTCACTGATCGAGGGGTTCAGCCTGTCGGTGTCCGCCATAACCGCATCAAACGTGGAAGAGTGTTCCATGGTGAGCTCTGAGGTGGAACAAGCCACGGACGCGGTTGAGAAAAAGTGAGGGAAGGGCCAGAAGATATATCCGTCGATCCTCACGCAGACATAGGTCGGTACAGAGATGGAGTAGAACGGATTGTTGGTTTGAGAGAAATGTGAGGCCCGAAGCGCATGGTGGCATTGACCATAGCCATGGCGTTTCGCAAGGTGATGGACCATCTCACAGGTGAGGGTGTGAGAGGCATCGCGTGCATGAGCACAGAGATTATCAGTTGGCGTGAGAGTGAGCCAATCTGACTGGTTAACCAGACACAATGGCCCTGTTCGATAGCTTTTGGGGCTTCCAGGATGCAACCGTTTGGAATGGCCCTGTCGCCCAAATGGTTGAGGGTCGCGACAAAGTGCAAGTGGGGCCTCTGGGCCGGCAGTGTAATGATTTGGCCGCCCCAACGCCGACTTGTTTCACCGAACTCAACCGTGCAGGGTGTTGAAAAGCTCCACCCTAACGGCCCATTGAAGCGGACGAGGGCTCCCCCAAAGTTGACAGGTGAAGGCGGAAAAAAACCGAAAAACAAAATACCGCTGGATGTAGGGGAAAAAAAAACCATCCACGTAGAACATCTCTGCAAGGAAACCCTAATTCGTGAAACACACTTCCTAATTCGCTGTATGTCGCTAAGGCACTGGACTCCACAAATCGCGACGTAGTACGAAGCTGCGAAATGTGCAAGTCTCAAGAGTCAAAAGGCTCAGATTCGACTGGGCATGCTCTGTTTTTCTTTACCCTACTTTTGGGCAGTTAGAGATAGGGAAACCGCTAGATTAGACTACCCCTAAATAGCCCATTGGTCTGGCAGTGAAGCGATTTAGTTGAAAAGCAACTTTGGCAATGGTCCGACAATGGTCTGGTGTTTTACCAGGGAGGGGCTGTAATCATTAGGCGGGAGTTACTGTTCTTGCGCGCTGTGGTGTCAAAGTACCACGACAAGATTCCCGCCAACTTTTAGCAGATGGGCGGGAAACCGTGGAGATCGCAGGTGGGTCGTTCGCGCTGGCGGGAATTATGCACCATCGCATGAGGTCGCAAACCGTTTCCCGCCCAAGGAACAAGGTCACCTCAATGTTTTCTGGCATGGGTCACCCTCGCTATCGAACAGGGCCAATGGTCCGGGAAGATTGAAACAACACCCAGTTTGGACTTCTCCAGCTGGTGAGGTGAGACTGAGATCAGCAATTAGCCCACGGAACCTGCATGCAGTTCCTCGCCAGCACGCGTCAACTACGCAGCGACTGCAGAGGTGTAGTACCGTAAAAGCAGGGGTCAAGGATCCAGGTAAGCGTGGCGGTGGGTCAGAAACTCCCAGAAGCAGAGAGTTGGCGTGTGATGAGCCACGGTGGTGCCGAAGGAGATAATACTGCGAATGAAAGTGAGGTTGAGATCCACGTAGACGGGGATAGCACAGGTAGAATATGCCATTTCGTTGTAAAGCTCGGGGTTTCTGGTAGGTGAGTGCTCCCAATAAGCCGGTGCAGAGGTTGGATCCGAGGGTTCTGGAGACTCGAACAGCGAGCTTCCACCTGTCAATCCTGCAAGGCACACACGTGAAAAGGTTAGCAAAGCAAAAGAGAGGACCTACCGCAAGCCAACCGAGGAGGAGGAGCAGAAACCCGAGGTTTCTGGAGGATCGGCGTGGCAAGCATGGTCGTAGGAGCTTTGTTGCCCTAGGTGAGATGCCCTGGGAAAGCGGAGAGTTGGAGGAGGTTCCCATGAACCGCGCGACTGGATCAGCGGTTTATTGTGCCCCCCCCGCATTCCCCCACAGCATCATCCCTGCCCGCTCAGTCCCATGCCCACAAAACCCAGCGGTCGTTTCGTCAAACCATACCGCAAGCACACTAGCGTGTATTTGTGCCTCTGATCAGAGCTTCAAAGCAGCCAAAAAGTGAGGCAAGCAACGTGCAACCTCGCATTGACTGCCAAGTTCCTTCCATCCACTGCTTGCCCTTCGCTCGCCCAAGATGCTACTCCCTCGCTCTACCAGAATGCTTCAGGCAACCAAGAATGTACCACGCGCAGCGCTACTGTGCCTCGTCATTTCCATCGCGCTCTTCGCGCCGTGCGCCGTGCGCGGCGCGCCGCAGGGTCCCGCCGCGACGTCGATAGCGGCGACACTGGCGAGCGCGGAGTCGCCGTCGCAGTCGTTCAACGTGTCGCTGCTCGTCCTCAACGCCACCGGGCTGCTCGCCAAGCTGCCCTCGCTCGTGCCACTCACTCTCTTCGCGCCCACCGACGCCGCGTGGCGCGCCGCTTTCCACGCCCTCGCCCTGCCGTATCTTAGGGCCTACATTCCCTTCCCCGGCGCCGCCGTCTGCGGCGAGTCCCCCGGAAGCCCGGGCAGTCCGGGGAACAGCTCGGGCGGTTCGGACGCCGCCAATTCCGGTGGCATCGCACAGCCGACCCCAGCGCCCGGTGTTGCCCCCGCTGCGGGAGGCGCTAGCGGCGGGGCGAGCGCGGCGATGATTCCCAGCCTTCCGCAAGTTGACTTGCCGCTGCCCGGCGTTCCCGACGTGGCGATTCCTCGGATTCCCGCCGGGTCAGACGGATTGAATTCGACAATACCTGTGGATAACATGACGATTTCCATGCCCAATCTCAATATGACCATGCCCGATTGCAACTCGACCTTTCCCAATATAAACATGTCCATGAACAACCCGTTGACTTTCGACAAGCTTCTTGCCGCATTGAGTGCCGTGTTTTCCGGCGACGGGACGCCCGCGTCGCTGGCGGCGCTGGCGAAGGAGCGGCCCGAGGCGCTCAAGGCTCTGTCGAAGCTCCTCGCATACCACGTGGCAACGACGGCGCTGAACGCGGCGGCCATCGCGGCGCAGTTCACGGCGGATGCGGGCAACCTGACGACGGTGAACGGGCAGGGGCTGTGGATCAACTACAATAAGAGCGAGTCCGCCGCGCTGCTCAACGCGTACTCGCCGGCGGAGCGCGCGCGGATCAGCGAGGGGATAAGCGTGGGGTACGACGGAACCATCTACTACCCCAACGGCACCACCGTCGCCGCCAACGGCACCGTCATCTTTGACCCCTTGACGACCCCCTCGCCAACCAAAGGCGACAGCTTGGTGGCGCCGCGCGGCGTGGCTGGCACACAGATGACGATGAAGCTAGCTCCCTTGATGGGCGGCCCCGCCGATGTGCCCCCCATTACCACCATGCCCGCCCCCGCCGACTTGCCCCCCGCTGATATGGTCCCCACCGATATGCCGCCCAACATCCAGGTGGACCCGATCCCGGGGTTCATGGGCGGGTGGGGCAACTGGGGCAACTGGAGCGCGGATGCGCAGCAGCAGTGGTGGGGGAATGCGACAGAGTGGATGAATGGGGTCGTGCCGGGGCTCAACGTGACTGCCAGCGAGTACCTCGCGTGGCTCAACTCCTCCTCCCCCTGGGTGGCAGGCTCTAGTATGACGTGGGAGCAGGCTGGCAGCGACATGAACGTGGCTCGGGTGGTGCGAGCTGATCTGATGGACAGCGCTGGCATGGTGGTGCATGGCGTCGATGGCGTGCTCTTCCCCCACCTGAGCGACTTTCCTCCATCCCCCAAGGGGGATGGAGGAAGAGAGGGTGATGTGCCTCTGCCCATTGCCATCCCTGTTGTGGCCCCTGGTGGCGTTGATAACAACAGCGTGAACGTCGCCGACACGAATGGCACTGCGACTGGCGTTGCTAACAACAGTGCTGGGGGGGGTGCTGGTGCTGGGTCTAGCAGCAACAGCAGCAGCAGCAGCAGCAGCAGCAGTGGTGGGCAGGATGCATCTAAGAGTGCGGCGAGTGGCACGCCAGCACCACCTGTTGGGGCACCCCCTGCGGGTCAAGCACAGAGCAAGGCTGCTGCAGGTGAGCGCTGCCCCCTCCTCTCTTTTTCTCCCCCTCATTTCTTGCCGCTGAATCTCATTTTTCCTCTCTTCGTGTGTGTGCCTGTGCTGTGTGCATTCGTGATGGTTATGGGTGCAACCGCTCATCAACCCACTTGTTAACATTCCCCGATTTCTTTGATTTGTGTGTGTGCTGTGCACAGTCCCCCTCCTCTTGACTGCTGCGCTCTCCCTCGTGGCTCTGCTATAGCCTACTTGCTTGTATTACCCTCCACAAGCCTGGCATCCCTCCTCTACAAATCAGGGTTCCAGCCCCTACTTTAAACCCGAGTCTAGAATGGTAAGAGTTCAAGTTCAAGATGCTTGAAGTAAAAATCGCCAAGAGCCAGGTAACCCGGTTTGGGACTTCCATACCCTCGCGACCCACAGAGCTGGGTTCCAATGGAGTTTCTGAGTGGTTGAAATCAACTGTGGCAAAATTATCAACACTTTCGCCACAAACGGGTCACTGTTCACACTTCCAGAAACTTGAAGCCAAAACTCACCATAATAGACTCTACACCTAGAAGGCTCTGTAGCGTAGAATATCGTTGTTCCCTCCCAGCACACTCAATCCCGCCCGTCCATCCCAAAACTTCAGTCATTCCCGTCCTTCCCGTCATAAGGTTCGTTCCCTTTGTAGTCAGGAAACCTGTCATTCCCTCCCCTTCACAACCTCCTTTTTACTCAGAATAGGTTCTCTAGCCCGTGATAATTTATGGATCACCCAAGTAGACTTAGTCTTCATTAGTGATGTTATTGCGAGTCCGTCGCTGCCACTAGCAATTACGCAGCCACTCGTTCCATTCGTTCAGACTCTCTCGTCCCCATCATACAATGCCCTCCCCCTCCCTCCCGTCACACACGTGACTCCTCACCATCGCTAACGTCCCTATGGTCTCTCTCGTCGCCCTGGTCTCTCTCGTCGCCCTGGTCTCTCTCGTCGCCCTGGTCTCTCTCGTCGCCCTGGTCTCTCTCGTCGCCCTGATCTCTCTCGCCGCCCTGGTCTCTCTCGTCGCCCTGGTCTCTCTCGTCGTTTTGGTCTCTCTCGTCGCCCTGGTCTCTCTCGTCGCCCTTGTCTCTCTCGTCGCCCTGGTCTCTCTCGTCGTCCTGGTCTCTCTCGTCGCCCTTGTCTCTCTCGTCGCCCTTGTCTCTCTCGTCGCCCTTGTCTCTCTCGTCGCCCTTATCACTCTCGCCGCTGTGGCCCTCGCATCATAAGATTGTCACGGACGCAAGCACCTCACTCACGCACGTCGTTCATTTCACGCCCGTCAATCACTCGCTCTTCGCTCACTCACGCTGATTCGCCCTTCCTCCCTTCGTTCGCGCTTCCTCCCTTTGCTCCGCGCTGCTTCCTCCCGTTACTCCCACTCCTCTCGTCCCTCCCGTCCCTCGTCCCGTCGGCTCCCGCCCGTCCCTCTTCCCGTCGCTCCCGTCCCTCTTGTCCCTCCACACGCTTCCGTCCCTCCCATGGCCCACGTCGCTCCCGTCGCTCTCTTCCCTTCCCTTCCCTTCCCTATGCACAGTTACCCCCCTTCCCTACGCGCAGTTACCCCCCTTCCCTACGCGCAGTTACCCCCCTTCCCTACGCGCTGTTACCCCCCTTCCCAACGCGCAGGTTCCCCCCTGTCCTTTGCGCAGTTTCCCCCCTTCCCTATGCGCAGTTACCGCCCTTCCCTACGCGCAGCTACCCCCCTTCCCTACGCGCAGGTTCGCCCCTTTCCTTCAAGCAGTTACCCCCCTTCCCTACGCGCAATTTCACCCCTTCCCTACACGCAGGTTCCCCCCTTTCCTTCGAGCAGTTTCCCCCCTTCCCTATGCGCAGGTTCCCCCCCTCTCCTTCGAGCAGTTTCCCCTTCATATTGCCCACTCACACCCATCGGTCTCTCACACCCACCCACCGCTCACTCACACCCACTGCTCGCTTCGTTCCCTCTATGCCTCACTTCCCCCTTGAGTCTCCCATTCCCTTCCCATGCCATCCGTCCCTCTTCCCTCACTCTCAGCCCCAAGCCTTGTTTCCTTCACCGCGCCACTCCTCCCGTCCCACTCCTGTGCCTCCCTTCCTGAGGAAAGTAGAACAAGAATGAATTGACTAGGGAATGAAGTGATACAAATGTGCAACCTTAGAAATGTGGACCTCATATGGGCCATTCCACTATAGCCTACACAATATTATAACTTGACACACTCCCATAGGCAAAGTGGGGGAGTACAAGGTGTCATAAGACCACTCAAGCAAAGCAAAGCAAAGCTCAGGGTGGAATCACAATGTCACTACGCAGTCAGAGCACAAGGTAAAGGCCAGAAAGCCAATTTGTAATGTTATATATTCTTTATATTGTTAGATTAAGCTATAGTGAGATGTCTTTTAAAGGATACAACACTTCAGGTCGACATTTGTATCCCTTACCTCTCACCACTCAATGATCACTTTCGACACTTCTGCCCTAGCCTATCTTAAGATGGTATTAGAGTAGTTTATTTAATCCCTCCCACGCTTCCGCTCCCTCCCTTAGCCAGTCTCGAGACGCTTATCCCTTACGCCATGTTTCGTCGCGGGTAGGACGGCTCTGCGGCCCTTGTTTTCGTCGCGTATAATGGCCTCCGCAAGCCTCGTTTTCGTCGCGTTTAAGAGCCCCTGCAAACCTTGTTTTCGACGCGTTTAAGAGCCCCCGCAGGCCTCGTTTCGTCGCGGGTAGGACGGCCCCCGCAGGCCTCGTTTTCGTCGCGCTTAAAAGGCCCCGCTGGCCCCTCGTTTCGTCGCGCTCCAGAGGGGAATCTCCCCCCCCCCCCCCCAAACCCGCGGGCCGGCGTAGTTGTTCTTAGCTCGCAGCAGCGCGCACGTTAGCCAGCGGCAGCCGCGCACACCACTGCAGCACGCACATTGCAGCAGCAGAAGCACGGCTAGGCAGCAGCGCGTGCTCCTGCAGCAGCAGCACGGCTAGGCAGAGGCTAGCCGCCAGCCACAGCTAGCCACCGGAACCTAGCCGCCAGCAGTTGGCGCCAGCTAGCACCTCCCACCCGCTCACGGCCCCTTCCGACCGCTCACAGCCCCTTCCAACCGCTCACAGCCCCTTCCAACCGCTCACAGCCCCTTCCAACCGCTCACAGCCCCTTCCAACCGCTCACAGCCCCTTCCAACCGCTCACAGCCCCTTCCAACCGCTCACAGCCCCTTCCAACCGCTCACAGCCCCTTCCAACCGCTCACAGCCCCTTCCAACCGCTCACAGCCCCTTCCAACCGCTCACATCCCCTTATCTCGCGCGCACACCACCTAGGACTACCCGACCTCCGTTGGTTCGTCACTCGCGTCACTCATACTCACAGTGTTTCGCACCGTCGCGGCTGGAGGCCGCTCCGCTTAGCTGTTTAGGGTAGCCTTGACGTTCGTGGTTAGCTAGGTCTCTCCTCGCTCCGCCAGCCCCTCGAACGACTCTCTGGCTCGTCAGCCCTGCCTCCTCCAGCCGTTTACTAGACTGGCGTTCCTAGCTCTGTTTTCCTCCGTGCTCCAGCAGTACTCCGCCGTTCTCCCTCCTGGCGCTCCGTAGGTTTCCTCCTCGTTCTTAGCTCAGCCTCTGCCGAGCTCCAGCCGCCTCTAGCATGGCATCAGTCATGGAGTCTCGTCGCCTCCGTTTCGACGCGGAGGGACGCCCAATAGGGTTTAGCTCCTGGCAGCGCCAGACCACGCGCTTCCTCACCAGCCAGCGGCAGGACGGCGCCACTCTGTGGGCTCACGCGTCTGGTGCCCTACAGGCCCCCCCGTCCCCCGCCGCCCTGCCGACCGCCCCGGAGCCGACCCCTACGGCCCAGGCGGACTACGACCGTCGGGTCCTGGCCAGGGACGTGTGGCTCTCGCGTGACGCAGCCGCCGCTCTCACTCTGTCGGAGCTTCTCCCCCCGACTGAGGCCGTCCACTTTGACCAGGTGGAGACTGCACAGGGGGTTTGGGAGGCTATTGTTGCTCGCTACTCCACCCCCTCCTCTGCCTCCCTCAGTCGCCTCCTCATGCCGTTTGTGTTTCCCGACCTAGGCTCGTTTGCGACCGTTTCCGACCTAGTGACTCACCTCCGCTTGCTTGACGCCGGTTTCCGCGTTGCCTGTACCGACGCACAGCTTCTTGTTGCTCCCCCCCCCATGTGGCTCACTCTTCACTGGTTAGTCACCCGCCTCCCTGACCGCCTTGCCACTGCCCGCGACGCGCTTCTTCAGAAGCACCCCACTGAGCTCACTATCGACCTCCTAGCGTCTGCTCTAGGGACCATCGAGAGCAGTCTCCTCACCGTTGCCTCCGCCACTGATGCGGTGGCCCCCCGTCTCTTTGCGGGGTGTGCCGCCCCTCAGCTTCCCACTTTCACCGCTACTCGAGCTTCTGCTGCTGTGTCGGTCTCTGAGGACACTGCTGCCGTTTCTGCCGCAGACTGGCAGAAACGGGGCAAGAGTGGCAAGAAGGGCGGGAAGGGGGGAGGTGGGGGTGGTGGAGGCGGCGGTGGAGGTGGCGGTGGAGGTGGGAGCGGCGGTGGTGGCGTAGGCGGCGGCGGCGGCGGCGGTGGTGCACCAGGGGGAGGGGGCCTTGGAGGAGGTGCAGGACACACATGCCCACCCACAGGTGGTGGCCCGCCCGGCGGGGGCGTTGCCCCCCAGCAGCAGCAGCCAGAGCAGCACCAGCCACAGCAGGGACAGCAGCAGCAGCTGGGACAGCAGCAGCAGCAGGCACCGCAGTAGTTCCAGCAGTGGGGGCCCCCACTGCAGTGGGGTCCGCAGCAGCACTGGGGTCCCCCGCCGCAGTGGGGTCCGGGAGGCCCTGGGAGCACCGTCCGCAGCAGCAGCTCTTCCAGCTGGGCCCCTCGCCCCCCTCGCCGTGACGCTGGCCCCTGCACCCACTGGTGCGTCACCGGGCCGGGCAGCCCCTGTCTCTGTGGTCGCGACGACCACTCTGCCGCGCGGTGCTTCCGCCGCCTCGATGACCTCTACCGGACTCGTTGGGGCCCTCTGGCGGTCACGCCTCGCTGGTCTCATCTGTTAGCCCGTAAGATTGATGTCTTTGATCTGTCCATGGACGATGCGCGTCAGCATGCTTTGTATGTTAATGCTGACTATAGTGCTGATGGATCTGTGTACTCGCGTGTTCGTAGGTTAGCCTACTTGCCTCCCGCTAGTGTAGCCTTGTGCCTGTCTAGCTTAGGTGCTTGTGTTGCTGCTCTAGGTGCTTGTGTAGCGACTGAGTCAGGTGACCCTCCGGCTGAGGCCTCTCTGTCGTTCACGCTGGACTCGGGCGCGTCTCAGTGCTTCTTCCGCGACCACACGACCCTTACACCACTCCTCACCCCTGTGTCGGTGGCTCTGGCTGATCCCACCTCTGGACCAGCCGTTGCGCGCAGCTCCACCACCCTCCCCTGCCCTGTGGTCCCCTCTGGTGTCCTGCGCGGCCTCCACATCCCCTCGTTCACTCGGAACTTGGTGGGTGTTGGATACCTCCAGGACAGGGGGATCACGGTTACCTTCGTGGGGGGTGGGCGGACTGCTGTCTGTACAGACGCTACCACAGGTGCTGTTCTGGCCACGTTCACCCGGGAGCCCCGCTCCGGTCTCTATGTCCTCCACACCGAGCGCTCCCCGGTCGCGTCCTCCCCTCAGGTCGTTGCGTCCCCTTCGGCCCAGGTCCCCGGTCCAGTTGCTGTGTCTAGTCAGGCAGTAGTGTCCGGTCCGGACGCTGTGTCCAGTCCCGTCGCTGCGTCGTGCTCCTGTCGCTCTCTCACCCACCGCACCGTCCTGTGGCACCACCGCCTTGGCCACGCGTCGCTCCCTCGCCTACGTAGCATGCTCAGTCAGGGACTTGTCTCAGGTCTCCCACGCACCTTCCCGTCGCTCCCTCTCTCGCCTGCCCCTCCTTGCTCTCCGTGCGTCGCCGGTCGCTTACGCGCCACTCCCCACTCCTCCTCCCTTCGTCCGGCCACCGCTCCCTTCGAGACTCTCCACTTGGACGTCTGGGGCCCTGCCCCGACGCAGGGGTCTGGAAGGGAGCGTTACTTTCTGGTGGTCGTCGACGACTTCTCCAGGTACACCACAGTGTTCCCTCTTGCGAAGAAGTCCGAGGTGACTGCTACGCTGATCAGGTGGCTTCTAGCCACGGAGGGCACTCGTGGTCGTCGAGTCAGTTGTCTCCACTCCGACCATGGGGGCGAGTTTCGCTCCGGCATTCTCGGCGGATTCTGCGGCGAACAGGGCATCACCCAGTCCTGGACGCTGCCAGAGTCCCCACAGCAGAATGGGGTTGCTGAGCGCTGCATAGGCTTGGTCATGGACATCGCCCGCACGTCCATGATCCATGCCCGTGCGCCCCATTTTCTGTGGCCTCACGCGGTTCGCTACGCCGCACACCAGCTGAACCTCCAGCCGCGTGTCTCGCGGCCCGAGGCTTCACCGACCAGTCTTTGGACTGGTTCCCCTGGTGTCGGGTCGGCCTTTCGAGTCTGGGGCTGCCTTGCGCTTGTTCGCGACACCTCCGCGGACAAGCTCTCGGCACGCGCCGTCCGCTGTGTCTTCCTTGGTTTCCCAGTGGACTCTGCCGACTGGTCCTTTTACCACCCGCCCCTCCACCAGTTCCTAGACTCTCGTGACGTCCGGTTTGACGAGTCTGTGTCCTACTACACCCGGTACCCCTGTCGAGGTCTCCCGGTACCCCCTCCCCCTCTTTTCCTCGCACCCTCACCTCCTCCTGCTCCCGCCCCTCCGGTACCCCCGCCCCCCCCTGGTCCTGCCACGTCTGGTGTGTCCCACGTTACCCCTCTACCCTCGGTCGCGCGTCAGGTAGCGGCTCCCTCCCCACAGTCCTCCTCACAGTCCCCTCAACAGCCTTCGGCACTTTCGCGACAGGTTACTGTGGACTCGGTTGGTGTTGGAGCTGGAGGTGCAGCCGCTGGCGGTGCTCGGTCTGGGGGTACTCGGTCGCGGGGTGCTGGAGCGGGAGGTGCTGGCGCAGGTGGCGCTAGCTCTGGGGGTGCTGGAGCGGGAGGTGCTGGCGCAGGTGGCGCTAGCTTTGGGGGTGCTGGAGCTGGAGGTGCTGGCA